CCACACTTCATTGGGTAACCCCCCCCCGACTCACTTGAGAAAGAGCGCTATCGTTAATAAGCTACTTTTCCACATTATCACAGAAAATTTCGATGGGGATCAGTCGAACTGAGCCTCGAAATGTTCAGTCCATCATTCCGCCTATAGTGGACGTCGGGATTGTTAAATATGAATTAATATGCTGTCTGACTCCTTAATTACCTCACGCCTACTTTCCTTGGTCCTGTACTGCTAATTAAATGAAAAATATTGCGATTACTACCAATAGCCACAGCCTTCTCCATTTCTACACTTCCCGACCCAACACTTCTCGCGGTCATTCCTCAGACTCTTGATGAGCTGGCTTTTAAGGGATTTGCGCTCTGAGTCGTGTTTGGCTTCAGTAAGGCATCTAAGGTCACAGATATTCGTTTTTGGTTTGATTGTGATCGAAATTCGGGTCGCTTCCTTGATACGCATCTTGCGATCATTGAATCCTTCGATGGATGGTTGACCCGAAAGGCAATGAGAGAGCTATGCTTCGAATAAAGATTCGCAACTATCGCTCACATCCGTTTCTGGCGGCATCGTTGCGGCTGTTTACCAGCCCTAAGGAGAACCTAGTTAGAAACGGAGCATTTCCGTATGCGCGGGTATTGATCAGTGGGAGCTGTAGTCTTAAGTGGATCCCGGACAGCGGTGGCTGATGGCGATGTGGTCGATTGGAGTACATCGGTGTAAGGCAACTGACCTTGTGAAAGTGCGCTTTGCCAGACCTCTGTCCATTTCAGCCCTGATGGGATCGGCTTCTATGGAACGCCATCATATGTAGCTCGCAGGATCATGGAGGCACGGACGTCATCACACCGCATCAAGGTGCAGTCTCGTCGTGATTGGTAACAAACAAGCTCTCCGTTTATGTGCATTTTCCGAGTTTGGTGCTGAGCGGGATTCTGGTTGAAACAGCTGGAATTCAACACTGAGCTAAGTGGCCTAGCTCAAGTTGAATCTAAGCTCCGCACAGGTTTCGTGCTATATTGCCGCTGTCACAACGTGTCATGAACGTGTAAAACACTGATTAATATCGTTTCGTGGATCATTCATTTGGTCGATCACTTTAACTTCCTCACAGCCTGCAGTTGGGCAAAATGGGATCTTGTTAGCCTCGCGTTTCAGAGGTGCTAGGGAACGGATAACGATATCTCTTGGATGAACCAGTGTGCTGTATTACCTACCGCTTAGATTATACCTTATTCATATTATCATCCAAATGGGATTGTTACTCCGATAAAGCCGAACACATCGGATAAAACTAGCACATTAGAGCATATTTCTAATGGCCGTTTAAAATGAATTGAAGGTTTTAGCACTGCTGTGGGCCAACATAGTAATAGGACCCGTCTCGCGCCTTTATTTGTACAATCAGCTTGTGTTTGTGTCACGATAAATCACAGAACTTTGTAACCATTCAACTATGCGCAAAACAGGGCTGTGGATAACAGCTAAAAGATTCCGATGATTAAGTTTTTTTAAACTGTTACTGTTGAAAAGGTTGCTGTCAGTGATAGCGAAATGTGCGTGGCGGCACATACACGACTAAAGGCGTCTGTCCTGTTCTCAGACCATATGAAAAATTCAAATAACTACCTCTCTCTTCGGTGTTTGTCTTGTCTGCCTCACAATGATGTTTCTGCGTGTGTGCCATGGGATTCAGTAACTATTGATTTTACTTATTTGGATCACATGCTTAAATCTGTTCTGGCAATCGCATTATGCACAAATTTGTTTGTCTCGTCAGAGTTGTGTTTAATCTACTGACGTTTAGTGTATGGTGTCGGTTTTCCTTATTTGTCCTCTACCGGTATGTGGTATGCGGTAATACAGCTCACACAGAACTCGTGCTCTTTAAAAATCTGTTGTGCATTAGAAGAGAGTTCGAGTGCATTAATGCTTTTCAGGTCTTGTAGTTCAGTATAATATTAGGCTACTCTTTTCGAACGCGTACTATTTTCTTTACATACACTTCTTTGTAAATACCTAGTCACGAAAATCAGTTGCTCACCCGAGTTTGGGGTTTCGAGTACACTAGACCCGAGTTGAACATGACCTAAGTCGAGCAATATCCACTGCCACCACTGCAAAAACTGTTTCTGAAAGATCTTGCAGTAAAGAAATCCTTTTATTTCTCCCCTTCTACTCCGGATGATCCATTTTGGTGTTCAGTCGAATCGCGGTTTGCGGGGCCGTATTAGTGCTCTAGTATCCGGAGACTTATTGGATTTCGTCTTCAGTCGATGATCTCAGATTCTGCATTCCTGAAGTTTTTGGCCATACACACATCAGCAGCAATGAATTTGATCAATATTTGTTGAATCATATCAAATCAGTAAAACCCGTTTTTTAGCTTCAAAGCCGTGGGTGAAAAACCAGGTCGCGTTCTACCATGTGTGCTCAATCTCAAACATTGTATTTTAGTGTGGGCGGCGGCTATTTGCCGGTGTGAATCAGATAGAAGTTCATAGGCTTTACGGTGTCATGGAAGCATTTGCCTTGCGGATGGTTTTCACGGGTGATTACACACACACACACACATCTAACAAACCGTATCTCGCGTATTGCTATTCGCATTCAGTTCCTCCGAGAACATTCATATCCACTGCAGTTGCAATTACACTCACTGGTCGTGTGTCTGTTAGCGCTCTGACATCGCCGAATGAATGCATATAGTTCCCTTCTGTAAAATACTTTGGATCTACACTGCGCACTCAACTCCGTGTTTTTTTTTTGTTGTTGCCTCAGTTGGCCTGCCCCACTACTGCTTTCCACTCAATAGTCACAGACTGGAGATGTTTTCAATCAAGGCTAATCCAGCATTGGGCAAGGCCACTAGCGGTATGCTCATAGAGTTGGTTACGCTGTATGGTAATCACTCAAATTTTGTGATGGTGACGACGAACTAGCCGCTAGTGCACAGAATCAGACAAACAGCTTCCTGAGTTCTGATTAATAAATCAGTATTAAAGAAATCACCAATTAAAAGACGCATTCCCATTCAATTCGTTGCAACTAATTTGATTGGTTGATAGCATCTACCGTACGGGTAAGAATTTCGTTTCGATACTCTAGTGAAGTCACATACCATAATCTCTTGAAGATCTTAGCACAGATCACTGTCCAGTTTCTTCGGCACTGATCATCTCAGTGCACTCCGGTTGGTTTATCCCCTCTCACCTGGTCTGCACATTCCAAGTCAACTGGGCCACTCATCCGGATCGTCAACACATCATGCCCGAGATCCGCAGACCAAGTGTAAAGCAAAAACCAGTGCGAGCTAATTGTTAGTTCTAAGAGAAAAATCGATTGGAAAACACAACACTACTGTGTACGCTGACAGGTTTTGTTTATCGGGCAGATGTGTTTGCACTCTTGTCTTGTTTTTATTCGAGAAGGTCACTTGGTTTCAGTCATATGACAGTGTACTTGTCCTCTGAAGCATCTATCTACATGCATGCATACATGTATTGCACACTTCGGACTGTGTCAATCAAACTGTTTGTAATGATTCGTTTGTGGACAAATTATTATCAGATTGAGCAACTGAAAGCAAGCGGTACGTTGAAAGTGCAATGACAGAGAAAGCAAGCAAGTGTTACCGAGGTGATTAGGGTTCCTCCTCCTCGTCCAACTAATTACCATGCCCCGAAGTTGACTGTTTTATTTTTCGCGCTTTTGTATTTATATTTTTTCGTTCACTCATGATTATTTTGGCACCGCATCTGTAAAGATTGGTGTTATATATATATATATATATATTGTCAAAAACAAGTTACAGTCTGCGCATTCCTAATATTTTCCTTAACGATCATCAGGTTACTAATACTCCCTCATTTTGTCCACAGTTCGGAATAACTACCGACAGCTGTGCGTTCCAAGTTCCCGCTTCTATCGATTACGACACACACGCAGGCACACACCATAAGGTTTAATCGGATCAGACCACAACCCCGATCGATTCAACTTCCAAACATGGACACATTTTCTCTCAGTTAGTATTTCTACTCGATGTGGCCCTCGAATTCAGTGGTGGCAAATTCACCGTTTTGTGTTCACACAGTGCTGTTTCATTTGAAGTGAGACGCTGCAACGGGTTGTTCGGTTGTGCGTGAATGAAAATCATCCTATTTAACGACCACACACCGCTGACTGCAAGTGGCGCAGCGGTTGAGCTGATGTCATCGGCGTGCTCTGGAACCTATGGTCCGAGGTTCGAGGCCGGCCACGACCACCCAACTTTGCTGGTAGGCAGCTTTGCTGTCGTGCGGTTCAATGCCACATCTAAGCTAGCGGAGCCTTATGTGGTTTCCCCGTCCAAGTCCAGCGGGGCTTTGGTTACCGGTTATCATCACAGCAGGTTCTCCTGAATATGAGTCTTTCCCCATCTGTTCATCACACACGGGTGTGTAATAAAAAAGCCTGAGAGTTGAACCGAAAACAACACATGAGTGCATAAAACTTCAGAGTTTAGAAAAATTTTCTGTACTAAATTTTCCGTAGAGGAATTTTCGTACCGATCGCTGCTCATTCACTGAAACATTCACCATGCCCGTTGATAGCCCTCAAGAGGATTCCAACATGCATTTCATCACATATGTTCAAGCACACAAACGTCTTGAATAAGAGGAAGATATTTGAACCTTAGCTTTCTCTATTCCTTGTCGAATGTCAGACTATCAGTGTGTGTGTGTGTGTGTGTGTGTGTGTGTGTTCAGACTCGGTCTACACGTTGCGGTTGATATTTTTGATTGGCTTTGGAACTCATTGTCCAGTTTTCGATTGTTTTCCTATTTAATATCAAAATTCGCTTTGGTTCACTGTGCTATAGCATCTAATTGTATTCAATCTCTGCTATCTGTTTCGTTCCATCCCGATTCTTCTATTCCCACCCGGCATCTTTTGATTACCGACCACCGGGGAAACAGATGATGGTCTCTAATACCACACATCCGCTCACCGTGACCTCCTCTGTGATGGCCGTCAGCGGTTCTCAGTAAGTTCATACTCTTTGCCTTGTGTTCTGTTACAATGTCTATCAACTGGTGGCGGCGGATAACGGCCATGTTGGACCTAATATTGTGTGTGTGTGTGTGTGTGTGCGTGTGTTAGATCGGTTTATCTAAAGTGGATCTGCTTCACCTGACCTACACGGATTGTGCTGCGCTTGTACAAATGATAACGCTAATTAACCTTCATTCTCATCTGATCATTTACTCACCTACTATTCTCGGTTGTCCTACAATAGTGTTTTTCCTTCCTTTCATTTATTTGCCNTATTTGCCTATCTCTGATTTGTTTACTTTTTCAGTAAGTTACCTAGGCAACTGTACCCAAACGCATGCAACGCAATATGGAACTGTTTTTCGTGAAAACCCAGCTAGTGTAAATGATTAATAACATGAATCAATTATTGATCCACTCTTTCTGTCCGTGAACTCACCGTTTTTCACTCGGGTGGGAAAACTTATTACGACCGAGTCAGAACTTCATTCATTCATTCTCACAAATGCAAACACTCAACTACTCGCACTGTAATCACAGTTATCGAGGCATGTTAATTGTGTGCTGTTCATCAGTTTCAAGACGATGCATTTTGATTTTGTTTATGAATCACATCTCAGATTTCTGCTGGAGCGAACCAGTTCCATCTATTCTTTCAAGTTGCTTCTTGACTTGCATACTAGCACATAGCTCCAATCGGGGATGTTGTCATTTTTTGCTCGGTGTATGTACGCTGTTTGCGTAAGGTCAGACACCCAAACTGCCCAGTACTGCTCGAAGTCGCGGACCAGGAAGGTATATGTGTGGTTTCTACTCGTCTTCTTATCTGGTTGGTTTGGAATCAGGGTTTTCAACCAACTCCTTTAGGTGGACTGTCAGTGACTCATCTACTCTGTTATCGTTTCGGATGTTGGTTCTTTGTTCTCTCGCTCTGGCGAGGAAACACCTCCCCCTCGTGAAAGCGGCGAGACGGGTTTCAATGGATTGCGATTTTCAAACATCGCCCCACTGGCTTGCAGATCGGAGCTTTTTTAATCGAAGGCTCTGGTTGTGAGTCCGTGCTTTCGCTTGGAAAACGTGGCCATATTCCGTTCATTAGCAAATCGTGGACTGATTTCTTTCTTATGTAGATTGTCTGAATTTTGAACAACTATGCACTTTTTTTTATTAAACTCGTATGATGAACAGCAGACGGGGAAAGCCCCATGGCCACGAGGACCTGCTGGGCAGTGATGGAAACCGGTAACCTAAGTCTCGGAACTTGGATTTGTGAACCACATAAAGTTTATTGCGGCGGTTTTGAATGCCTTGTTTTGTTTGCCCATTTGGCGGAAGGAGGAAGATTGGAAAATTGAAAGTAGTCTTAAAGAGAAAATGGAGAATCCCATTAGTCGAAGGTTGTAAAGAAATTGAAAAAATGTAGCAGGGCCACTGTTTATGACACTTAGTCATATATCACTCTGTGTCTCTAACCATTGACTACCAGGATCCCGGAGTTCCCATCCAGGAAGCCTAGCGTGATCTATGTGAGCAAGTCTCCTGGTCAGGGTTTCTATACTCTCATGCCAGATCCGAGTTTATATATTTATAAATATATAAAAATAATTTAAAC